AATTCTTTGAGATTGAATGGCTAGAAACATAATGAGCAGATGATTCAAGAAGTGGCTCGGCATCAGCACGGTATACACCTGAGAGCTCGGGGCACGAGTGCGGTGTTCAAAGGGCACTCTAAACGGGGATGGTGGCATTTGGAGGCGAATTGTGTGCCCCTCTGTGCCTCCTAGGCAGTCTAAAATTTGCTAAGACGATTTCCGAGTTGCAGTTTGCACGATGGTTGAAAATATAATGAATCTGTACTTTTCGTCGATCATCTGCGGACAATCCATTATGGATGCTACAGAGACCCGATTTAATTTGTATTAAAAGCAATCATCTGAAACTCGTTGACCCAGTTTTGTTATGTTATTTCGGAAATTATTGACCTGTTTGTTGAACCATTCCAAACAAAATAAGACAAACGGTGAATCCGTTTTCCGTTCCTCCTTAACTTGCCGTCATGACTCAGTAACATTGCAATGATAACTTCTGAATTGACAGTACCACCCCTTCTAGTGACACATAGCTCTCCTAGACAACCCAGTTCAAACAGCCTATTCAGGTGAAATACCCACTATGACTACGAAAAAAATAAAGGAAGGAAATGAAATGAGAATGTTGGATATAATTCACTCAAGCAATTGATCTTGGTCTAGCACGCATGTAACCTGGAATCCATGCCATTGAAATAGATCAGAAAAAAGAAAACTCCCAGCGAATGGCAACTATAGTTTTTCTGATCGTTTCCAACTTGAGTCTCTTTCTTGTTAGTTTTTCTGGAACCATCCTCAACACTTATCTTTTTTACAAGTTTAGTACCCGAAGAGGTGTGATTAGTGGTTTCTATAAATTATGTCTCGTGAAAACTATTCCTAATGCAATTGTTTGTGCATGTTTCCTTTTTTGGGCTGTTCCGCTGAGCACTTTGAGAGTCAAAAATAGCAAGGTACCGAGAGATGCAAACGTTTTTGTGGGACAGTTGGCAGGCGCTGGAGCTTACATTTTTGGTAAGAATATTTTAATTGTAATTTTTCATTTCAAATAAACTATGTAAATTTCAGGTCCACTACTCCACGTCTGTATGGCAGCCAACAGATTCTCCTCTCTATATTTTGCAGTACAAATCATAAAGGCAAATCGATACCCAATTACAATAACCTCAATAGGAATATCAGTCATAATTGCAATCGTTTTTACTGTCATGGGTCTGCCAAGTGAGTCTGAGTTTTGAAATTAGAAATAGACAAAAAGCATTTTCTTTCAGAAGACTGTGGATTTCTTTACTTTCCGGAAACTTTGGAATGGCTATCCGAGGAAGCGGATTGTTCAACTTTTCAGTATGATCTATTATTGTATTCTATATTCGGCTGTGCAGTTATATCAAATACGATGAATTTGGCAACAGCTGGAAGGTTATTGTTTGATAAGGTTGGTTTTTTTTTCTGGCAAAATCAACGAACGATTTGTTGATTTGAATTTTTGGAGCTTTATTCTGATGAAATGCCCTTTTAGAAACTAGCCGCATACGTTAAGATCGCACGGTGAACACAGCCTATACTCTATCTTGTAGTGACCCCACTTTGTACTTTTTACTTTTTTCGACTATCCTTCTGCATATTTATCTGGGTTATTGGATATTTATTGTTCCAAGATTCCTTTGATAAACTAATTTTTAAATGTATTATTCTACTTCCTGTTCAACAAATATTTTACTTCCAGGTTGGCGGAATGAGTAAAACCGATTCGAAAACTCGTAGAAAAAAGTATCTAGTGAACTTCTCGCAAAGTGTTCTTCAAGATTGTCTACATGTTTTTGACATGATCAACAGCACCTACACGACTCAACTAAATCCGTCAGCATGGTTTCAATTCTTGTGTCTCACTTTCTCATTCGTTTCAATTCATTTTCTTGATGGGTAAGCGGTGATAAAGTTGAAATTCTAGTTTGATATTTTCCAGATGTGTCATGTTTTACTTCCACAGTGAGCTCCATCCAAGATGGTTATGGAGAAGAGCTGTCAAAAAGAGATCGTTGATTCGGGTGGTGGCAATGTCTAAAGTTTCTACTGTTAGCTAGCATATTGTTGATCTTCTTAACCTCCTTCTGTTGACGTGTGTTCTCTGTATGTCGCTTATAATTTTTCTCAAAAACAGGCAATTTTAATCAAAACCAAAACAATAAATAGCTGGTTTGCTAGTCTCTCAATCTTGATCACATGACAAACTTTTAACTTTCAAGCATTTTAACAAGCACTTCAAAGGAGGTGTAAAGGCAGGCGGTCAATCCAATTACACCAGAGACACCCTCAACACACGTAATAGGCCTATTCTGGATAAATCAGAGAAGGAGAGAGTTGGTCTCCCGGAACAGAATAATATTTCATTTGGCTGTTGTCTCAGATTGACTCACAATTTATGTCAGAGCACGGAAGTTTGGTTTCAGACGAACTTCTCTTCATTCCAGATTCAAAATTTATGTCTGTATTATTTCATGTGGTTGCGGTGGTTTCTATGCTAACGGTGAGTTTTATTAAATTCGGTTCCTGAATATTCTAAAGTCTTAGAATTGTCGAATCTTCTAATTTCGTAGTAATTTCATTTATTTTTCTAAAAAAGAAATTCAAGTTATTCCTGTTCCTAGCAGACATCCGTTTGAAATGATAATCAAACTTTGAAATCCAGGGTTCGTACTAGCTTCTAACCTACTTTTTGGTCAATAAATTTCTTGCAGCTGAAAATGAGAAAATCATAGATCCCTAGTATTAGCTGAAATTTAGCAGCACTTACGAAGTTTCCATCTTTGTTTTTCATTTTCAACTTTTTTGTTCAAAGTTTAGAAATATACAAAATAATTCTCAAACTTGCAACACATATATTTTCAGATCAGCACTCTTGGCCTCGTATTGAATATTTATCTTTTCCGAAAGTTCTCCAACAAACCAGGAAAAGCAAGCTCATTCCATAAACTGTGTCTGGTGAAAACGATTCCAAACTCAATTGTCTGCGCTTCATTCCTATTATGGGTTGTACCTATATCTGTTGTACAACCTGATTACGACAAGATTCCTAGAATTCTGAATGTGTTCGTGGGTCAGATTGCAGGATTTGGTGCTTATGTCACTGGTGAGTAATTTACTACCTAGTTTTTTGGCAAGAAAATCAACAAACTGCTTATCCATTGCACCTGTATTTTTTGTCAAATTAGCGATTTCATATTAAAAAGCATTTTTCAGGACCCCTTCTTGAACTCTTCATGTCTCTCAATCGGTTCGCAGCCCTTTACTTTGCGACTCGACATCTTGGAATCGCCGATTTCCCATTAACAGGATTTGCCATCATTGGAGCATTTGGAATAGCTGTTTTGTATACAGCTCTCGGCTTCAGACGTGAGTCATTTCGAGACCAAGAAAGTAATCCAATTGTTTTCCGGTTTGCAGCGAACTGTGGTTTTGTTTTTTACCCAGAAAACTTCACATGGGACAAAGAGTATACAGAATGTGCGACAGGGATGTCCACTTTGATCTTTTATACAGTAGTCGCGATTTCCACGTGGACAAATCTTTGAATGTCGCGACTGCAATAAAATTAGCTGTGAATAAGGCGAGTCATTGAGCCGAAATGTGATGGCTCTGTGGTGTGATTTTCTAATGATTGGTTATTCTTTTCGGATGAATTAACATTCGCAATTTCATCAGTTCTTGAAATGTATTACTTTCAATTGACAGTAGACAGTGATCGGACACTGAAAAAGCAATTTGTTAAAGATCATAAGAATTGAAAAACACTGAGTTTTCAGGTTGGAGGAATGAGTCAAAACGATGCCCACAGAAGGAGGAAAAAATTGATTTCGATGTTCACACAGGTAAAAATTAAAAAAAATCAATGTGCGTTCTTTGAATCGATGTCGCTGGAAAACTTTTAAACTGTAACTAATTGGAAAGACAAATCAGAGAGTACACCTTCAACATAAAATTCTAGTTCCAATATAATGTGAATCTAAAATGTTGAAACATTTGAAAGTTCGTCTGTGGGAACTTTCTAGGAGAACCGTGATTTTTAACGTTATCCCACGAGTGGATCACAGTCCAGACTTTTGTGATTTACCAAAATAAAATTGAGAACTAACAAACAAACCGTTTTATGAAAAATCTGGAAAATTGATATCTAAAACAAGATGTGCTAGTGTAGCCTACAAACACCATCAGCAGCATTTCAAGAACAGAAGATGTTCCTTTGACCTCATTGCACTCTCGGGTTTTTCGCGTATTTTTAGACATTCTAGTTCAGAGTGTGATCCAAGACTGTCTACATGTCATCGACCTCATCAACAGCATTTTCATCTTCAAACTGAGCGATGCTCTCTGGTATCAGTTCATTTTCCTCTCCATATCCTTCCTTCTGATTCACGCACTCGACGGGTAATCAAGCGAATACTGATTAGTTGAAATGTTATAAAGCAAACTATTTCAGTTTTGTCATGCTCTATTTTCACCCAGAGGTTCAACCGAGATTCCTTTATCGGAAGTTTGGAAAAACATCCTCGAAGATTGCCACGGTTGCGACACCTACATTTCATGGGGACAGAAGAATCACTACGGTTCAGTTGTGAAAAATCAGAGATGATGCACTTTTTTCAATTATTTTTTTTTGTGAATAATGACCCTGAAATAACGCAGTCCGGGTTCAAATAACGCATTTGTGTTCATGTCAAAGATGTGTTTTGTTTTTTTTTTCTAATGAAAGATTGACCTCTAACAAGCTTAGTTATTTTCTAGTTAATTCCCATTCTGAAAAATGAGATGTAATGCACTCAAAATTTCCCACGGATGTTCGACAACAAAGTTCTGTGTGAATATTCTCTCTTTGAATTTTCCCATTCAACTTTCCTAGAAAACATCGTTTCCTCACTAATTTTTTGTGTCCGTTTGTGTCCGAGTTTTTGTTGATTTCCTTCCTTTTTTTAAATTTCATCAAGATCCTTGATTTTCAGAGTTCTGTAATGTTGGGCCTATTTCCATTACTGGCAGTGATCTCTATGCTTGTTGTAAGTTTTTATAAAATGTGTCTGAACCACTAAAATTGTAGATAACATCTCTCAAATAAGATTAATTTCAGAAAATAAGAAAAAGTTCAACTACCGTAAGCTTGTAATAGAAGGGCCATCACATTGCCCAGTTTGAGCTCAATTATCTCAATTCTGTTACAAAATTTCAGAAGTGACTAAACAATTCTGATGTTATAACAAGCAGTTTCTCAGCTAACAACCTTTATATATTTTATAAGAACCGAGATAAATTAGCACGAAGTGAAATGTTAGGGGCCCTTCTATTACAGGTTTTAAGGTATTCCTCCTTTTAGAACATTCAAATTTCAGACGAGTTTCATTGGATTCTTCGTCAACGTCTATATATTTTGGAGGTTCGTTAGAAAACCTGGAGCGTTCAGTGACTTTCATAAATTTTGTCTAATTAAAACCATTCCGGATATGTTTGTCTGTGGAGCCTTTCTGTTTTGGGTAGTTCCAGTCACAGCCCTATCCTTGACATACGCTAAAGTACCGTATCTCCCAAATGTATTTATCGGGCAAATAGCTAGTGGAGGAGCCTATATCTTGGGAGCCAGTATCCAAATGTGTATGGCAGCTAACCGATTCTTTGTGATCTATTTTCCATTCCGACAACACAAATCTAAACGATCCTATGCCACGTACTGCGCAATTACAGTCTGTCTGGCACTTGCTGTAACTTATACTCTGCTTGGTTTGAGAAGTCAGTTTTTACTATATGTACTTCTCCATAATTTATACAACTTTCAGAACTCTGCGCCTATGTTTATGATCCAGAAATCTTCTCTTGGAGAGTCGAAGAATCCGAGTGTGCTGATCAAATGACAACTCTCATTTTCTGGTCGATTATAGTGTTGGCTGTTTCATCGAACAGCTTCAATGTACTCACAGCAATGAAGTTCTTGTGCGCTTCGGTATGGTTTTGAACTGTGAGAGTGTACCGAAGTTTGATGAGATTTTCATAAAGGAAGCAAAAACTTTTGATTTTGGTTTTTGAACGAATATATGTGAGAAGAAATTGAATTGGTCTATCTAAAACCAGGATAGATTTGAAGAATGTATAACGCCTTTTATTTTCAGACTTCCGGTATCCGCCAAGCTGATGCCGCCCGTCGTCGTAAGAAGCGTCTTTGGCTCTTTGTCCAATGTGTCATACAGGATTGCCTTCACCTTACAGACCTAGTCAACAGTATTTTTCTCTTTGAACTCAGCGACCAAGTCTGGTTCCGCTACATCTTTCTGTGCTACTCATTTCTCGCTATTCACGCTGCAGATGGGTAACTTTTGTGACTTCTGCTCGCTTATTTATTTCCTTCGAAATTCAGAATAGTCATGCTCTATTTCAACCCGGAAGTCCAACCCAATTGGTGTCGTTCCATTGGATTCAAGCGTCATTCGTCTAGAACTGGCGTGGTTGTTGTATCATCACATCACTCACATCCGAGAGAAGTATCCAATGTTGCATGATTAATTTGGGCCGGAAGTTTGTAAAATAATAAACATTTCAATAAGATCAGGAACAGAAATTTTTATGATAAAAGTCATGCACATCGAAATAAGAAGACACGAGAAGAACATTTGAAAAGGCTTAATAACATTTGAAAAGACGGATACAGTGTAGTTTAAGCTTTTGTACCGATAGTTCAGTGTATTCAATCAATTCGTTTAATATATTCAATTCCACGAACACCTTCACAGCAAAGAACTTCCAAAATTCACAATCGTCACAATATCAAAGTTTCTACCACCAACTACTCTACAACTTGCGAAATATTCTGGAAGAAAATACAATCAATCTACTATTCATTCCTCAATAACTTTTGATTGAATATCACCGAAGTCGGTTTTTGTTCACAGCACTACTGACAGCTAAATAAAGAAAACAAGTTTTTCTTCTTCCCGGAAATCGTTAAGCCGTTCTTTGTATATGGAAAAAGCATACGGCTAGACAATATTCACTTCTATATAAAGGGTACTGAAAAACCGCAATATTAGATTTACAAATGCCAGAAGACGTCGATTTTCCCTTGCCCTATCTGGCAACTTCTATCTTGTTTATGGTTAGTCTACAGGGTGGCCGATAATGATAGGACGTTTCTAAATGTTTCCCATTTTTCAGAAAAACGTTTATTAACTGAAATAACTTTATCAAAATATCCAAAATATGTAAAAATGTTAGTTTTATAACAAGTAGTCATGATTAGAGACACCAGCTTCGACAGTAGCCTCCAAAAGCATGATAAAAAATTTGGCTGTGCGGCGACTGTAGTTGACGTCAATATCGCCCCAAAATTTTTGAAATGGACTTTACAGAAAGTTTAAAAAGCTATAGGAGGTTTTGTGGATTGGTGTGGAGAAGTATTCATAATTCCGAACAACAAAAAAATTGGCATCAAATGATATCAATCACTGCTTATAGAGGGTCCCTACTTTCTATTAGTTTAGAAAGTTTTCAAAATTATCCCTTGGCGCCAGGCCAAGGAGCTTTAAAAAAACGTCCTATCATTATCGGCCATCCTGTAGTTATGAATTCATAAGTTTTGATGAGATTTTAAGGTATCCACATTCGGATTCGTTATCAGCTTCTATCTTCTTGTCAAGTTCCTAACCAGAAAAGGAAGATTGTCAAGCTTCCAAAAACTTTGTCTAGCCAAAACTTTCCCAAATGTCATTGTTTGTTCATCATTCCTTCTCTGGGTGATCCCGTTATCAATTATCCAGCCATTGGAAGTTTCACGTCTTCCGAATGTAGTTGTCGGCCAAGTGGCTGGAGCAGGTGCTTACATTATGGGTACTGTCATATGTTCTCCCATTTTCATAGGACAATTTTCGGGTCCATTGATTCAGCTGTGTATGTCTGCCAATCGGTGTTTCATTTTGTATTTTCCACTAAAGAATTATATAGTTGACAAGAGGTCGTCAACAAATTTAGCTATTTCTGTAGCAATTATCGTATCTATCATATTTACATGTGTGGGTCTTCCTGGTAAGATTTTATTTTGTTTCTTTTTCACCTGTGTTTATTTTCAGATGAATGCGGTTATATCTATGATCCAAAAGTCTTCACATGGACTTCCGAATCATATTCATGTGCAGAGTTTCAACTGAATGTTCTCTTGTGTTCCGTTTTCACTCTGGCAATTATGTCCAACAGTTTGAACTTTATAACAGCTATGAAACTGTTGTTTTGCAATGTAAGACACTTTTTTCTTGATTTTTCTTAAATTCTCACAACTTTCAGAGTTTCGAATTAGGAATGAATCAAGCTTATACTTCAAGAAGGAGAAGAAGGCGAATAATGATGTTCATTCAGGTACATATATCATGCCTCGAATTCTTGGCAAACCAGCTATTATTTCAGAACGTTGTTCAAGATTGTCTCCATATGGTAGATCTTATTAACTGTATTTACATATCCCTTCTATCAAACGACCTTTGGTTCCAATTCACATTCCTTACCCTGTCGTTTGTTCTTGTTTATGCGCTTGACGGGTAGGTCAATATAATTTCGATCAGAAAAAAAAACATGACAGCGTTTTCAGATTAGTCATGTTTCATTTCCATCCGGAACTTCAGCCAAAATTTATGCGACGCAGACAAACAAGTATAGCATGTAAACCTGTGTTTACTGTTCTTTGAAAGATGGACGGATATGAAAAAAATTGGTTCGAAATAATTTTCATGTACGCCCCTCGAGCAGTTTAACTTGTGAGCCCATCGTTGGCTCACGGCCGAACGATGGGATATATCACGATAGTAACGCGCTGTGCGAACATTGAACACTGTTCACCGTCACGCCAGAATTCATACCGTCACTCCAAAAAATCTCCGGAAAATCTCGTTCCTCTCTCTCTCTCTCTCTCTCTCTCTCTCCCTCTCTCTCTCTCTCTCTCTCTCTCCCTCTCTCTCTCTCTCTCTCTCTCTCTCCCTCTCTCTCTCTCTCTCTCTCTCTCTCTCTTTAAATAATGAATAGATTTTAAAACATTTGATAACCTCTTGCATCCGATTTTTGGATAGCAAAAGGAGACGACAAAGACAAAGTTTTGAGTGTTCCACAAAACAGTAAACCGAGAGTCAAATGATCTGCATGAAGAATCGGAGATTCCGAAATTAGATTTACAAAAAAATGCATTTTCTGGGGTATTTGAAACAAATTGCTGAGGTGGTAGGACATGAAAATCTCCATGTTTCGGAGATCTTAAATACAGATTTGCTGCTGGGCAATGCAAAATCGTATCCGCAGTCGTGACACGGTACCGATAGATAGTTCAATTCCATTTCGTTTTCGTGTAGAGTTTGATCGTCAGTTAATGTGGGTAGTTGTGTTTTGGTCTGATGAATTTTAGCGGCTTCCATTTAAAAGTGGATCATATTCTCAAATGTTCAATTTATTTAAAAAATTGCCCAACCTTTGAAGATTTTTCTGAGTTTCTCGATTTGAAATATTTTAGCAAAAAATAAAAACAAACAAAAAAACACAGTTTTGGATTCTATGATGAAGAATATCCGTCAAAAAAGAAGAAATTCAATAAAAAGTTGTTGTGGCTTTCTGGGACCGACTAACTGATTCGGTATGCATGTGGGTCCTGTTTCAACCGCGCGCTAAAGGTGTAACATCCAAAATGAGTTGTATTCTAGATGAGATAATTCAAGAATACGTAGTCTTATTCCTATATGGATGTATACAACATGGAACAGCTTTTCACCTTAATACCGGCACCGGATATATAAGATGCCAAAAGTTCAGTATTAAAACATTCGTATAGATTCGCAACGGAGATAACCACAAACATGCGATAAATAAATGTGGTGGGCGAAAAGACAAAGACCGTCAAAGTTTGGAGATTTCAAGAACCGATTCGTCAATGTACGATAAAAAATCGTAGTCGTGACATGGTATTGTTCATTGTTGTGTAGAGTTTGATCATCAAGAAGCCGAAGGTTGTGACTTGGTTTTGCGACAGCAGATGAAAATCTCTGAAACTCTGGTAGATTTCTGAAATATCAGAAACTGAACGTACCGATGATGGCATTTCGATAATTCTTCACCACAAACATATTTGGTAAAGGGTTGACAGCTGGATACCAAGCAATACAGTCGGATACTAGTCTGCTTGAGTACCCCATATCAATATTCAAAATAGGACAAAAGAAAAACACAAAAATCGGGGCGTACATGATCAACACTGGAACTATTGTTTGGATAACAAGAGCATTGAAAAGCTGTTTTTGTAGGTTCACCGAGAATTTTGATGTTCTAGAAGCCATGGAGCTTGGAAATGTTAGAATAGCATTTTATGCCCAAAACAAAAACACAGAGTTCAGAAGTGGCCTTTAAAACAATGTGAATCTGTCGGAATTTTCATACAACTGGCTTACCACCATAACATACATATTTCCCGCAGCAACCCATGACGAAACATTGAACAATAACTCTTCTGTCCCTTTTTGTTTTTTGTAGAACTTTAATAAAACATAAGAAACATCTTTCAGTTTTAAATCTAGAGTTTCCAAAAAAGTAGATCTGAAATTCATTTCGAAACAATAAATTTTGTTATTCACTTACCTCAAGTAATCATCTGAGTTCTGGTCTCGTAAACAACAAAAAAACACTACACCTCCCCACCATAACCCGTAAATGCAAGGAGTTACGAATAGCATTGAGAATCTCCAGCCAGATGTTACCTTTTTATGGGAATCGCTGGAAGTGGGGCGGAAAGCCTAGATTTGAAACCGTAGCAAATTTTCTCGTACCATTTTGTAATTCCATATCGATATATAAAATGAACAGCTAAGAAAGCCATAGACATCCCAAACGTCCCACAATATGTAATATTCAATGGAATCGAAAATATCCTGTCAAATAAATTACTCTTGCTAAAGACGCGGTACACCAATATAGCATATCCATGTGAGAAAATTGCCTTTAATGAAAAAAAATCAAGGTGACAGGCAAACTGATCCTCACCTACCACTTCTGAAACTGTGCCCAAAACTGCGTAGTATATATCGAATAGTGCCGTATAGATCATAAGATATCGGTAGTTCCCCAGTTTCTTCGGAGATTTTTTTATTATCAGCCATATTAAGAACATATTTAATGCGATTGAAGTGAAAGTAGCTCCGATTTGAGAAAGGTAAAGCATTTTGAAGAACTAACTGGTTCGTGCCTTGTTAGCCGTGTGGTAGCTGCCGATAAGAATGCCCAAAGGTAACAATTATTAGGATTTTCATAATAACTTGTGATGTTATTGTCCCCAGACTGCGAATGTGCGTGATTTCATTTAGGCAGGATCCATGTACTCAGATAAATCGTTTCATAAATGCCCTGGATGTTCGAAAAGTCAAAAGTTCCAGTCCGACGCATAACACATTATATGGACGGAGATCGAAATCAGAGAATGCCACCGTTGGGCTTTCATTAGTAGTCAAAACATTCTGAACCGATTTCCCGAGTGTATTGAGTATGGTCGTTGATATAATCTTGCACAATATCCGGATGAAGGCTTTGTGTCTTTTGTGACGACTGGATTCATCTTCGAGAATTGAAAAACAATCTGTTTTATTTCATACCATGTTAAACAATTTCAGCCCCTATCAGTAATGCGACATTGGTGGATCGAAGAAACCAATGCTTTTGCCAGTTTTTAGACAGATACTATCACGGTAGACTTTGTGTCATCCAAAACTAAACAACATTCATTAGGGAATATAAGTGGCTGGAAAACTGAATGTTTTCTTAAACCTAGAAGATTTAAAATAAAGATGAGAAGCGGGCTAAAACATGGTCAGCAAAAAATTGTCGTTGTAAGCTATGTTTACTGATAATTTAATTAGTCTAAACGGAAATCAATAAATAGCAAACGAGAAAATTCTAGAACCACTGGAACAAGGATACATTACACTAGCTGATTGAAAAAGTAAATTTATTTTGTAGCAGTCTTCTGGAGACATCTATAAACGTCCCTTTCTTCCGTTCAAAAATTACTCACAATCTTTAAATTATACCTGAAATGAAAAAGTATTCATCTTATAAAACCAATCACATGGGTTTGAGGAATTCCGTATTTTTTTCAATGCCCCAATACCGTGTTTTTGTGTTATGATCGTCCGCACACCCTTTTCTCTGTCCTTTTTAATCAGTTTTTCGATCTCCGACGGACAGGAAAAAAGCAGGGATTCACAGTACTCAGTGATAATAGTTTGGTTGCTGTTCCTTCTCAAATTTTGTATCTCAATGTCTCATCAACTTTTTCATAAATGATTTTTATTCTTTTGTACTTTTCTCCAGTAGCTGCTTAAAATTTTGTGAATCTTTCAAAAATGTGAAATGAAGAAGTCTGAAAAATGAATGTAACTTTGGAACTTTCGATTGGCTCACAAATATTCTGGTCAAAGATTGGTGTCTATTTTTGTAATTATCTTTTTTCAAAGATTATAGATTTAAAAAATGAAGACCCATGTGGTTTTAGAAATCATGGAGTAGTACTGTAGATGATTTTTTTCTTAAAAGTTTGACACTCGCATTTTATGATTTTTTAAGTACCCTCATGGTGTCACTAATTTATTTCGCAACAAAAACAAAAAGTCAATGCTTGAAGAAAAGTGAAAAAATTAGAAAAAAGTGCAAGAATACTTGCTTGATCCATTTTGGGGTTTTAACTGGAAGCAACAAAATGAGAACTGTGACCTATTTTAATAACTGAGCTATTCGTTTTGCTCGTAGGTTGCACATTTGGATGGAAAATATACATGACGAATCTGAAAAGCTGATCCAATTTCAGACTCTAATCTATTTCTGCCAACCCGTCCAAAGTATGAATAGTTAGAAGTGACAGGGATGTAAAAATGAATTTAAACCACAGAGCATCATTGAGATTGGATATAAAATTAAAATTAATCATGTCAATGATGTGAAGGCAATTTTGGATAACACTTTGAACGAAGAACTTGATTCTTTTTCTTCTTCTTCTCACTACTTCAATATTGCTAATTCCTTCTGCTTTTCCGAAGCAGAGTTTCACAAAAGTGACTAGGTTAAGACTGTTCGAAATAGCAAATGTCCCATAAATAGTATACAGGATGACGTCTTCCATGAGAGCTCCACATTCTGTCTTCTCCGGTCTCCAGAGAAACGTGTCAGGGTCGAAAACAAACCCGCATGATTCTGAAAATGATATGAGTGTAGTTGTTATTAATTATCTATTTATCAAGGCTAGACTAGGAAGGAAAGAAGAAGTACGTCTGGTTCAACCGTTTACCTGGTATCAATCCGAACAAAACATAAATCATAGAGACCATAAATACAAAAACAATGATATAATTTGCATTTTTAAAGCTGTAGCTGGGAAAATAAATTACGGAAAAACGGTTCACGGCCATGAACATTTCAATAAGAGCACCAGCAACATAAGCTCCGAAGCCAGCGACCTGACCGACAAAAACATTAATCAATCTTGGAAGTTGTTGGTATGTCAGAGATAATCCTGTGATTGGTACAACCCAAAATAAAAACGCGGAGCACACAACAGTATTTGGAACAGTTTTAGCGAGGCAAAATGTCAGAAAACCTCCGCCCTTGTTCATTTTCAAAAACTTCCAGAAAAGATAAACATTCATAAATGTTCCCAGGGTGCTGACCTAAAGAAAAAATCATACATTATAATTAGAATAGTTAACTCACAATTAACATAGACACAAAGAAAAACATTACAAACATATCTGCAAAAAAAATTGATTTGGTGGCTTAGACTTGTTGGTTTTGGGACAGATGTTTGTGTGAGAAAATGAGAAATCTTTTTATATCATTTCTAGAACAAAAAGTGGACTCCTGCACTGATTAAGTTCTCTTATGCCTATAAATCTCGAATATTCAATCAGCAAAGGAAATTTGGAAGGTTAATATGAAAAAATCTAATATTCTGGCAATCAGACACCAGGAATTCTTGGGAACTAGTAGTAAAAATACTCGACAATAAGTTTAAAGGGGATACATGCTATTTTTTTTGCTTCATTGAAAAGTTGTTTTTCCAGGCATGTCTGGGAAAAAAACTGAAAAATATTTTTAAAAAGCAGCTGGGAAAAAGAACTAAAATATTGGATAATAGGAGCAAAAAAAGGCGTCTCGGGAACTAATAGTAAGAATATTCTATTCTACCGCACATCTCTTCTGTACAAGGATTTCAATGCCATTCAAAAAATTAATGAAATTTTCTCATAGAAAAAAGCGAGAAGAATGCATTTTTAGGGAAAAGCGGTTTCTGTTCCTGGGAACTCTGGTTTCTGTTCCTGGGAACATTATGATTCATCTTCAGGTGGAAAGGGTTGTTCTAAAGCAAAGCTTTTTGTTCTCTCTTTGCGAAAAACGATTATGACAATATTTTATCATGAGGTGCGAAGAATTAACATTTCAAAAATTTTCTCTGAAATCTTCTAAAGCAGAGACGATTTCATTGGAAAACCATTTTCTCTCTAAAAAACAACTGAATAATTTTCCAAAAAGACAATGTTCGTTGAACATTTCTTTAATTAATTTTCGGTTTACAGAGTAGGAAAATGACTTTCGAACTATATTTTATTAAAAGCTTTAGAATTAAAACTGATATCTGGAGAATTGTTCAAAATTCCTAGCTCTGTATATTCTTGCATTTTGTATTTGAAAAGCATAGTTTAAGAGTTGAAAACCTACATGAATTGAGTTCAAAATTAGACAATAATGGACTATATATAATACTATTCTATCATAATACCTTTTTAGATTCAAACATTCGTGGTCCAAGGAAAATGTTCATGATTACGGCTTCAGATATCAAATCAGTTTGGAACAAATGATTTGTGAGCGGGTTACTTGAATTGAATAGAACATGTTAGCTTTTGATCTACCGTATACCGAAAGGTGTGTCGGTTATTGGATGAAGAATGGGAGATAAAGTTTTGAGTAAGACACGGCTGAGCTATCAGAAAAGTGTCAAATAACACAGTTTGTGACATAAAAACTTCGTGTGTAAGCATTTTCTTAGATATCTACCAGTATTCGAAAGAAACTGGGCTTACATGTGACCGAAAATAGATCCACATCTGAATGATGAAAAAAACACGAATTCTGTAAAAGGTCCTAAAAAAAAAGAAAAAAAAGTTATATTTTATATTTTTATGTCCTAAATAGCGCCTATATTCAGAATGCATTCAGCTCTCCGGCAATTCGCAGTCCCGCCCCGGTGGACTCAGGGTTTTCACATTTGATCCAAATCTGAAATTTCAGGAACGTTCGAGATCATTTTTTGAACATAACATTGTTACCGACACTCCGTGATTGGGAAACTTTTCCAGACCTCGACTGTGTTTTGAAAAACTGGAAAAAAAGTTACTGGAAACCCGAGCCGAGAAAAAAATGTAGCACAAAGTCTATAAAAATTTGAAGGACTATGCCTGAAACTCGATAAAAGTGAGTTCAAAAGTTGAATCCTAGGATTTGTATGAAGCCTGGTGTTGAACAATCTTCGAGATCTAATGATTCTTTGGCTTTCTTCCCCACCCGTCTTTTCACGATTTTGTTCCATTTTCGAAAATTCGTTGTATCCAGAATCCAATCCTTATTGCATCTTCGTCTTCAACATCCCTTCCAGAGTTCAATCTACAGACGAAATGCACGTGATTCGAACGACGAACCGCCTCCAAAGTGCGTGCCGCGGAGAAGATTGGATCGTGAAGATTGGGATCTTTTGAAGCCATCCCTTGATTGTTTCTCCATCCCGTTGGTTTAATTTTAAGACACCTCCTCCTCTTCTCATACTTTATTTTTTCATTTCGAACCAATTCATTTTGTATATTTTCTTAAATCCTCCCCAAGACCTAATAAATGCTTACTGTTCAACGGATGGAACCCGAGTATCTGGTATACCCGCAATCCACGTCATCACCAGTTGAGTGGATTCCTGAATTAATGCAAAATTGTGCTGTTTGTGGAGATCGAGTCAATAGCTGTCGTCTTGGGTGTCCCGCTTGCTTGGGATGCATTGTTTTCTTTCGTCGTTCAGTTATTCATTCCTCCAAATATCGATGTTTGAGAGATGGAAATTGTCTGATCAATTTTGGTTAGTTTATAATTCTTATAAATACTTGTGTCATTCTGAAAACAATAATATCCAATGAGAGGTCCAGTCGGTTTTAATGGTGTTCCATTCCCATGATCCCCGGGGTATCGAAATAGGGGGCATCGTGCTCAAAGGGGTTCATTGACTCATAGGGGTCATTTTGAAGTTGGTTCTCTGTACCAATATATGTGTACCAATTTTTCAAGAAATTCTCAAAGATTGTCTGAAAACACCTTCCTTGTAAGAAACCACTTCAAGATGGCCCCTATCAGTTAGTGACTCCTATGAGTGAATGCCCCCTTTGAGCACAATGCCCCCATTTCGATGCCCTCTGGGAGCATGGACCGGTGTTCTAGATACTTTGATACCTTTTTTCAAATTTATTTAAATACTCCTGGGTTTTGGAATTACCATAGAACCCATGTCATCGTGCTTCCGTCATGGAATAGATCACGAAGAGAATTTCTGATTTTTTACTTGTAGTCAAAAAGATACAAAATAATGGTTTGCGGACACTAGATATTGTTTTCTGGCCGCCAACAAAATTTTATTTTGCTTGATTTGGTCAGTTGGTATTTGCACCGTAGTCTCCAAAATTCTGGAATATCCATTTTCTTAATCCGTTTTGAACTGTAATTTTTTTTCGTTTTGATAGTTTGGTTGTGCAGATACAGTAATCTCCGCTGAGTGTAGGAAAGAAAACTATATTTACTTTATTCAATCTAGCTCTTTTTTTTTTGACCAATTCTTATTTCAGAATTTCGCTCATCGTGCCGATCTTGTCGTCTTCAAAAGTGCTATCACGCAGGAATGAAACCTTCAGCAGTCAAAAGACGGGACTGTCTTGGACCGAGAAGGCCTTCTCCTTCGTATTCTGATCCACCAATTCTTTCTCCAGAAGCCGATGTTCAACTCATCGATCGACTCATCAGAATTCAAAATCGACAATTTGAAGAACACAAAAGACAAAGTGTCTCGTCTCCAAGGAGAGCCGACACATCTGATATCAATAAAATGTTTAAATGGAGCATAAATAATTCCATTGAATGGGCATCTCAATTTGACCCATTCCAAAAATTAACTAATGAATCTCAAAAAGTTGTCCTATCGGAGTATGGATTTGCGTTTCTTCTCATTGATCAAGCATTCCGGACAGTGTCAGAAAAAGCTAACGGAATTTGGTTGCTACAAAATGGAACGTTTCTTCATCCCGATTATAATTACGGACAGAATGGAAGAGTTCAAGAAAGTGACTATCAGTGTACAAGGTAAAAGAAAATCTTTGGGTTACAGAATAATCATTTCCGATTTTTCAGAAGCCACTTCGAATTTGTCAAATCTCTCCAAATCGCCATTCAAAAACCATTTGAAGCAATAAATATTGATATTTTCGAGATTGCGGCTCTCAAAAGTCTTCTATTAGTTTCTCGTGAGTTATAATTCTAAACTTCTTTCAATTGAAGAACTTGTGATTTTCAGCAACCTACCCGAAAACCAACATCTTCTCCGAATATCAAGAAAGAATGACAAGTTTGAAATCCAAATGTTGTACGGAACTGTTGGAATATCTCTCAGTTAATTATTATGAAACTCATGTGGAACGCTTTGGAACTTTGATTCTGATTCTTGGAGAAATCCGAACGATGGTCAAAGCACTATACAACCAAACAAAAATGTCTGATTTATTCAATTCTAGTCGATTCGATCCATATGTTCGAAGCTTTATTTTGTCATAATTATCTGATACATTCTTCAATTTCTCTTAACTTGGTGATCTCAATCATGAAAATAATAAATTTGTATATATTTTTGATTCAGTTTTCGTCACATCACACAATCGATTTTTCACTAAACAATACGATTTTCAACGGAGAAAACTACCGTATTCTTGATATAAAGTTTTTTTTTCTAATCTGATTTTAGGCTTCCTTGTTTGGAAAGCGGAACTTTGGTGCGGAATAATAAAATGTTTTACTTGCATGTAGTTTCTGGGTAATTGAAATAAGAATTTTTCACCATACAATTAAAAGAATCTCAGAGCACATAGCGCTCTAATAGAAGCTGAGCCTATATGTGCACATTGATCTTAATTCTTTCGATTTCTATGAGAGATATAAAAAATCTGTCAACTGATAAAATATTGGTGATATTATGATAAATAATTTGTCAGTTACATTATTTAAAAATTAATTTGAAGGAACCGAAATGATCTAATAGAGAAAATACAGTAATGTATCTTTCATTATAAAAAAGATTTTCCAAATATTTAATGCTTCATGAAAATTGTTAGTACTTAACACAACTTGATTTCTATAGCAATTTTAATAGTTCTATGTTGTTTCCTGGTCAGTTTTACTTGTTCAGTTTTGAAACAGATTCTCTCTCGAAGCTCGAGGCAAGAACTGAATCCTCAAGCACACAATTCTTTGGTGTCATTGGCAAATTATTGAGGTTACAGTGAACACTCTAATAGAACGTCACCCGAATCGTCAAATTTGAGACCATGTATCTCATTTTCTGTGAAAGATACCAAAAAGTGATTAACTAATAAAATGTTGCAGATATCATGATAAACATTTTGTTAGTTGACAACTTTTTGATATTATTCAAAATTGGCGAGATATGTAGGCTCAAAGTGGACGGTTCGGGTGGCGTTCTATTAGAGTGTTCACGGTAAGTCCATGTTGCCTACACAACAGTATGCGTTGCCCAATCCACCGGGTGAGCTGATTGAAATGACATTATTCCACTTATCACTATCGCTAAACACAATTTCTATGCAAAACGATTTGTCTTATTTGTTCTTCCTCCTGCAACGATCTTTTTTTCAGGAATACGGTAAGTTTAAAGATTCGAATCTTTGTTTGACGAGAACAATCCGTTTCCTATTCTTCTTATCGTTTGCGTTTTCCGCCGCATTTCGATATTATCTGATTGTACGATATGGACAGGAATTCGGAAAGTTCAGAAGCACAGACATGAACAACATAAAGAATTTTTTCTGCTAGGGTACATAGCCTGCAGATTGCAGCACACTCATTTATCACTTAGTGGAAAAAGAAAAAAAGCAAAACAATAAAATGTAGCTTAACATGTAGCCAAGTGGTCTCTATAAAAATGAAGATAGAAAAAGAGATAACGTACTCATTTTTTTGTTGATTACTTGATAATTTTTTTCTGTTTTCAGGAAAGATGCGAGAAAAGAAACCAAACTGGCCATATCCTAGAATTGATCATTTTCCAGGAAGGTTCGAGAGGTTTTCCTACAGAACTTATGTGAGTATCAGGACGCTGAACTCATTTTTCCAAATCTCTTCTCAACTTTTTGAATTTCAGAACTGGCTCGAAAACCGAATTTGGCCAGTCCGCCCTGTCCCATTTTTGGCTATCATCACTACAGCAACTGGGTATCAGCTCCGAAACTGCGGACTTTCAGATCTTCAAACAAACTGGCAAATAATCATAAAGCCTTTTATCATATCAATTGGCTCAGTGTACACTGCAGTATTCGTTCTTCGTCACTTCCTCAAATATTTTTATTTTTCTTACAAAGGATTTCTAAAGGAGAACCCAAAAAAGCCTTCGTTTCTGACCATGCTCTGGGGTGCTCTTAGGAAAGTTCTTCT